AAAAACACATCTTAAAACAAAACAAAACAAAACAAAACAAAACAAAACAACAGTTGAGTTGGTATTTATTGTTAGGTTAGCCTTCCAGTTAGTCAAGCAAGGAATTAAGGAGAACTGTATAAATCTGTACTTTTACACTGTCATTTTCCAGGGTCTGATGTTGACTATGAAGGGACTTTTTGTTTGAAAAGATCAGAAACTCTCATCTTTATCTCTAACTTAGCAATTTCCTCCCCTGTTGTTATTAGGGCAGATATCAGTCACCAAGGCCTTGGCTAGATCTCTGAAAAAAAAAAAGCCTTCACATTATTTCACATTGTAAAACCCCAGGCCATGCCCCCCTCACAGTTCTGGAAAGATCCAAGGCTCCAGGTCACAGGGGCTGGTGGATGTGACTCATCTTCCTGATCCCAAGTTGGGGAGAGCAGTGTTTGGTACACACTGTGCACCTGTCAGCAGTCAGCATCCTGTAGGCCAGGAAAATACTGACTCTTCCCAGGAAAGGCTTTGTCCACAGTTGAAACAGAAGTACCAGAGGACAGGCCACTGAGTCATGGAAGGAAATCAGGTGGACTCAGGAGTGGTTCGTGTGCAAATTGGGGGAACAAGACCGGGTTAGGGAAACAACTTCTCATTCCCCTACTAAGCCCTTAAACCAAAATAAACCTTTTTCTAAAGTTTTTATGTCCTATTATTATGCAGGAAACAACCAATGGTATTATACACGATGAACACCCAAGAAGGTAGAGAGCAATGACAATTTTTTAAGGGCCAGTAGGTGTTATCTACCATCTCTTCCTCTCCCTGGTGCACTCTACAGGAGTTTAGACATCACAATGCTGGGCCTGGCACAGTAGCCTTGCCTTGCCCATACTGGGATCCCATGTGGGTGCCAGTTCATGTCCCAGTGGTCCCACTACCCATCTAGCTCCTGCATGAGGCCTGGGAAAGCAGTCAAGGATGGGCCAAAGCCTTGGGACCCTGCATCTGTATGGTGCTTATGTGGGATCCTGGTGCTTGCAAGAGGAGTATTAATCAATTTAGCCAGTACACTGGGCCCAGTTCAATATATTTACACCCAAAAAGAAACTCAAAAGCTGATGTTTTTTATCTCCCTATTCCTCCTACTACTTAACCTCTCCACAGGAAATATTTATAAATATTCAACAGCACTCCAGGACAACAAACACACAATGAGATCTCTACTAAGAACATGTAAAGGACAACATCTGCCTTGTGGGTCTTCCTTCTAACTTCTAATCTATTGTTCATGAACATCTTTAGTTACAGGGTATTTTTTTCTATTCACAACCTCGTACCATTCAGGAGCATCTTTAAGTGTATACAAGTCAGTTCAAGTTAAGGCAGAGTACCAATTTTATCACATAAAAACATTCAATACTCTAAAAATTTCTGATATATTCAAACACCTACAAAAGTTGAGAATAATGAGCCGTTACTTATCACCCAATTTCAACAATAACTGACTCATGGCCAATCTTGTTTCAACACTGTTCCTATCCACTTCCCCTTGCCCACGTCACCCTGAAACAAATCCCTGATAGCATATCATTTTATCCATATAACTTCCAGTATGTCTCTTAAAACAAGCACTTTTTAATATTACAATATTATCATCACAACTAGAAGTATTAGTAAGAACTCCTACATATTTCAAATATCAAAATTCTAATTGTCTCAACAATATTTCAAGTTTTTTTGTTTGAACTGGGACACAAATAGTCTACACATTCCCAGCAGACAGAATATGATAAAATCTTTTCAACCTGTCTCAAGGTATGTGTCCTGTTTGACGATGGGTCAGCTCCCATATTCCATCAGCTTCTTTCCTTGTCCTTTACTTTCTAGTTGAACACTCAATAAATACAATCTGAAACGGAACAGGTATAATCACTGAAGAACAGTATTATGGGACTACTATCTTTCCCAAAGGCTTTAGAAATTAGTCTCATTGAAAACATGTTTGCTCTTCAATCAGGTGCCAAATTAACTACAACATAGGTTTAGATCCTGATGCATGCTTTTATTTATTTGAAACACTAAGCAACAAATGAAGAAAAGACTTAAAGAAATTTTCCATCCATTTGTTGACTTTCCAAAATGGCTGTAGCAGCCAGGAACGGGCTGGCTGAAGCCAGGAGTCTAGAACTCCTTGTTGGTCTTCTATGTAGACACCTGGAGCCCATGTACTTGGGCCATCCTCCACTGCTTTCCCAGACTCATTAACAAGAAACTGGAACAGAAGCAGAGCAGCCAGAACTTGAACCAGGGCTCTGATATGGAACACATTTATTTTTTTAAAGATTTATTTTTTTATTGGAAAGTCAGACATACAAATAGGAGGAGAGACAGAGAGGAAGATCTTCTGATAATTCACTCCTTAAGTGCCCACAACAGCTAGAACTGAGTTGCTTCGAAGCCAGGAGCTTTTTTCTGGGTCTTCCATATGGTTGCAATGTCCCAAGGCCTTGGGCCATCCTTAACTGCTTTCCCAGGCCACAGGCAGAGAGTTGGATGGGAAGTGGGACTGCCAGGACACGAACCTGTGCCCATATGGGGTCCCAGCATGTGCAAGGCGAGGACTCTAGTTGCTTCTCTACCACGTTAGGCCCAGGAATGCATGTTTTAACATAGGAGATGGAACACATGGACACACACTCACACACTATGTGTGTGGACTACCCTGGCCCTGGAACGCATGTTATGGGTAGTCCCAAACCATGCCCAGTACCTACTTCTCTCTTGCAGTGAAGTATCAGATACAAGGAAAAAGTTGAACTCCAGCCAGAACACTCTGGATTACCTCAGTGTGGTTTGGTGGGAAAATTCTGATTTCTCAAATCCAACTAATTGTCTTTAAGAAGCAGAGCTTACCATTTGGACTCTAGAGACCAATGCCAGAACCAACCAGGCATTGGCGACACATCCACAGCAGACACACATGATGCACAGAGTAGCTGAAATTTGTGGAAAGGCCCTTTGTCCACAGAGTGGGAAGCAGAGGGGAATGGTCAGAATGTTGGAAAGGGAGATTAGGTCACAGAAAGTGTCCAGGCAGGAGGAGAGTGCTCTCAGGCAGGCTTCAGAAAGCCGAGGTGGATAGGGCAGGGACAGTGTGAGAGAAGAGTAAGAAATCAGGGGATGATTGAACAAAGTGAATGTAATGATGGAAGAGGGAGAAATCAAAAGTGATACTCTTACTTTCAATTCATGCACAGGATGCTATGTAAAAAGGATCTTTAAGTGTACATACATGCACAGAACCCCTTGAGGAATTCCCTTCCAAACTGCCCATGGTCCCCGGGCAGAGAGCTGCAGATCTGGGAATAAGAAAATGCATCCCATGTGAGATCTTTGCATTTAAAGGATGGCTCTCAACATCAGATGCACATTGGAATCTTATGAGTTCAAAAAATGTTCAGCCCAGTTCAATCTTTGTCATGGGGTGTTTTGAAACCTCCCTCACCTCCCCCTGTTCCCACACAGGTGGAAATGCAATGCCAACACCTGATTGATTACCCACCGTTCCAAACCCTGCAAGACTCATCACTAAGAATATTTACAATTTGCAGTTTGGTTTGGCTCTGTGTGCCCTGGAGGCTGCCATGAGAACAACCTGACGTATGGAATTCAGAGCTTCCCAGTGGGGACAGCCTAGTAGGGGAACAGGAAAAGAAGGGTTCCTGGTATCTGGCATACAAGCTTGCCTGTGCACGTGGATAGTCAGTTCTCACATTCCTGTGTGCACCACTGGGATATTTATCAAATGCTGATTCCTGGACCTGGACCCCCTCCCTGTGTTGGTCAGAAGGTCTCAGATACTGCCTAGAAATTTGCATTTCGGCAGGTGTCCACATGACCCTCGAGACAGTTGAGACTCTGAGGAACCCAAGAGTGACAGTGTGCATGGGCAGGACTCCCAGACAGTCTGAAAAAGTATATCTGAGAAATATCCAACATCAGTGTTGGAAATCCCCAACTGGGAATCAGCAAAGGAGTAGCCCTGCTCCAAGTGCTCCTTCTGTAATCGAAGGGGAGGGGAAGATGAGGGACCCTGGCTCCCTCTCTCCTCGTCTCTACCTGCAAGAAAGCTGGCAGTTTCCTGGGCTGTTTTGCAGTAGGTGCTGGGGCAAGGAAGGAACAGCAGCTCTCACCTTTTAGAGACTTTCAGGTTTCCCAGAAGAATGGGCTTCACCTTGTGTGTCACAAGCAGCCCTTGAGTGACTTTAAATGCTTCAGTGACACAGGCTGAGGAAAGTTTCCCCTTCTCTCTTGACCATCATCTTGCATTCCTTGCTGTGGGGGTAGGGGGAAACTACACAGCACCCTTTCCCACTCTTGGTGCCAGTAACCGGAAGGTACTCAAGGACACTGGGCTGGTGCCATCTGGACAAAAAGAAGCCAGGCTCTGGGCAGCTGCCACCTGCTTCAGCTTTGTTTTTTTTTTCTTTTGGCCTGGAGGGGGTGGAGCAGGGCTCCACACCACAGTGAAAGGGTACCTGGGCACCTAATCCCCTGAAGGACAGGCAGCTCTGGCCCAAACGCCTGGTTCCACCAGCCTCCTTGCCAAAATGCAGCCACGGAGTTTCAAGTAGCTAAGGCTTGGCTCCACTTTCTTCTTCCCAGCCCAAGAAATGCTGCTTCTCATACCTTTCTGGAAGAGGCTGACACCAAAGGGACAGTGTCCTGACACAAAACAGGAGTCATTTTTGGACCCAGAGAGCCTGAGTGCTGTACTTCCAGACACAAGGAAAGGATGAGGCACAGGGCGAGGACTGGCCCAGGGGAACCTACACGTCACTTAGCTCTTTCTTTTCCAGGCCCAGCAGGGGACCTCTGCCAAGCCTCCTGAGTAGACAGAGGAACATGCTCCACAGAGGGAGTTGCTATGATCAGAACTCAGACTGCTGTGGGTTCAACAGTCTTCACATGGGTTGCTCGAGAATTTACCGCTCAGAAACAAAAAGCCAGGGACATACTTGGGTTAAATTAAAAGCACAGTTTTATTGTGTTTTCTTGTCAAACAGCTATACTTGACGCAACAACTGAAGTATAATTGATTTCAACAGGAAATATCTCACCTGGAGGGAAAACATACGAGAAAAACACTTAAATTAAAGCCAAATATTCCTTCCTGAGGTACAGCACTGGCGTTTTCAGAAAGATGGCAGGATGGGTTTGTTGCCATGGAACAAAATTGTGAGATCCATGAATCAGTCTTCCACTCGCCCTTCTTTCCTCATCCTCATGGGACGATGCTTGTAGCCTTCCTCAGGGCCAGGTAGCCGGTGACCACATCAGACGGCAGCCTCCGAATGTAGGAAAACTCCTCAATGGTGCTGAACCGCAGCTTGCTCTGGGGGTCCGTGTAGTTGGCCTGGGTGGGAAACAGGCCCAGGAAGGGGCAGAAAGTCGGCAGTGGTATTGATCTTTTATGTTCAATGCAAGTTTCAGCATTTGTTTTTATCATACTGAAAGTGAAATCTACCTATATTTTATTTTACTCTGTCACCAACAGCACTGAACTGCTCACTCAAGCAATGACTCATTCATCTTCCCAGACTTGAGGCACATTCCAGTGAACTGACAGGATGAAGAGCAATAACCACATCAGACTCCAAGGCCTTTCTTGTTGGCACCACACCAGTTGCAAAGACCAAGTGCAAGACTGAACCACTGTAGCCATCCCTCGCATGCCTATGGTCATAGCTCCTGTGCCCTGCCACATCCACTCTTCCCCAGAAAGAGCCTGCTCTCTTACAAGTGTGGCCAGAACATCTTTGCAACTTGCCACTCTGATGTGTTCTTCCTCAGCAGAAAACCTCTCAAGATGGCTCCTCCTTATTCTTACAGCAAAGACCTAAATCTTCAAATGGTTCCTAGGGAACTGGGTGTTCTTCCTCTTGGATTCTAACAGCTCGCAGTCCCTCTCTCCCATGAGGCCTCATCTGCTCCTTCTATGGCAAGGGCCTCAACTCAGGTCCACTTTGTTCAAGTCATTTACTCTTCCTTCAAGATTCAGCCCAAAGCCATGCCTGTGGGGAGCTTCATCTGTACTCCCATAGGAAATCAGGACCCAGTCCCCACTGGCACAATAGAGCTCTCCTGGGAAGTGTGAATCTATGTGATTGGTCATGAAGTTCATCATCTCCCCAAATCTCTGATTAAGGTCTAAGCTGGTAGGCTCCACAAGGCAGCAGTCCTGTGGTTTGCTTGTCATTGTAGAGCCCAGTGTAACCCCAAGTGCAACAAATGATTAATAAGTAAACAAATGAATGAGTGAATAAATGAATAGACTACCAGGACCATCACAGAAAAAGCCAACTTGTTCCCCAGATAGACTGAACTCCTCTTTTTTTTTTTTTTTTAAGATTTATTTATTTATTGCAAAGTCAGACATACAGAGAGGAGGAGAGACAGAGAGGAAGATCTTCCATCTGATGATTCACTCCCCAAGTGAGTGCAATGGCCAATGCTATGCCGATCTGAAGCCAGGATCCAGGAACTTCTTCCGGGTCTCCCACATGGGTGCAGGGTCCCAAGGGTTTGGGCTGTCCTCGACTGCTTTCCCAGGCCACAAGCAGGGAGCTGGATGGGAAGTGGAGCTGCTGGGATTAGAACCGGTGCCCATATGGGATTCTGGCGTGTTTAAGGCAAGGACTTTAGCCGCTAGGCCACGCTGCCGGGCCCATGAACTCCTCTTTAGATCTGCTTTTTTCCATGTGCACAATGGGGAAAATGATCCACTCACTTTATATCTCAGAGCAAATGGCTCTAGGAGATTTTTGAAACAGAAAACATGAGAGTGAGTCATTTTGAGCTATGTTTAAAAAATTATAAAAGATTTCATAAAAGTCTAGACAGATAACGTCTAACTACTCAAGTGTGGATTGTCTGCTCCACCCCTGGTCATCCTGATGTGGACTCAGACTGCAGTCTAAAGGCAAGGTGGCAGACTCAGCATGCAAGCAAAGAGCTGAAATCATCTGAGACACAGGTCTCCAAGCTCTAAAAGTTCTCTGTCCTGCCCCTGGGGAATGCCTTGAGTATTTAAATGCTGAGTGTCAAGAAAAGGGATTATTCCTAAAACGCTAAGACTAATTAAAGCGTCATATACAATAAAATGTTGAGCTTTTGGACTGATCTGCTTATTACCTTTCTGAACCACATTGCCTTTACTGCCAGTAACAGAAGGATGTCTTAATTAGAAAACTGCCACGACTCTCTCTGGAGGTTCCTGGCCATGCGGCAGTTCAATGAGCTGCCTGGCAGAGGGAGGTTGCCCTGAAGTTCCCAGCAGGGTGTGGGCATGTGGCTTGGATTCTCTGCCTCCAAACACGAGTCAGCCTCCGCCTGGCTCCACTTTGCGGCCACCTCACTCCTACCACCAAACTGTGCTGAGCCGGCCCGCCCAAGTTCAGAGCTCACTGCCAAGAAGCCTGTTGGATAAACAATGGGGAATACAGAGATCGTGTAACACCAACAAAGACTTGAATAGATCAGACCTCACCCAGGAGTTAGAGCTGAGAACTTTTGACACAAGGGACAAAGTCAATTGATACCTAGTGTTAAAGGAGGAAAGAGATTTACCCTCTTCTGGATTCTACCCCTGGAGCCATAAAGAAGCACAGGCCATTATCCCCCAGGTTGGGTTGGGTCAGGCACAGCACCCCCTGGCAAACACAAGAGACAGGACAAGTTGTGGGCCATGCCAGGTTGGGATAGGCTGCAATACCCACCAGCAAGAGCTGAGGTTACATTCAGGGTATGCCAGGCTGAGTCAAAGTCTCTGCTAGCATGTGCAAGATTCAGGGCTGAGAATGGACCCTGTAGGCGAAGTTTGGAGATTCTTTTACTAGGCTGTAGCTCCCACTGGTGAGTGCAAGAGTCATGGCTGTGGGCAGACCAGGTTAGTACCCACTAATAAAAGCCAGAGTGGGTGTAGGCCAGCCATGTCAGGCTGGACTGCAGCTCCCCTGGGAATGAGAGCCACGCTTGAGGTGGGCTAGGCTGGTCAAGGCAACAGCACCCGTCAGCGTATCTGTGGCCTGGGGGTGGGTTAGGCTAGGCTAAGCTGCAGCACCCTAGAGTACACATGAGAGCCAGATGGGATGCAGGATAGACTGGGATAGGCCTGCAGCACATACCACACACACTCACACACACACAAACACACACACAGGGGCTGGGGGCAGCCTAGTGAAGGTTATTGGGGGTCACCTCGACTAGTCTGTGGCACCCACTGGTGTGCATGAAGACTGTGCCTGTGGTGAGCTGGGCTGGCTAGGCTATACCAACTGTCAGTTTGCATGAGAAATGAGGATGGGACAGAACTGATCAGTCACTGCATCCACAAATATGTGAGTTGGTTGGTACACATGATGAACCAAGTCTGACTCTGCACTAGGTGGCACACAGAAGAATCAAGTCTGAGGTCACCCCAGGTGAGGTTTCTTGGAAGACTCTCCAACTAGACCACTTGACTCAAATCCCTGCCACAGGGAAAATCACAAGTTATGTGGTTTGACCTTGGAGTGCATGTATTGAGTTGGCCATCCTCAGTTCCTGATGCCTGTGCAGTGGACAGTAGACCCAGATGTACACAGTGGAGCTCATTTAGGTCAGCAGAGGATGTTAAGTGCCTCATCAGAGGATGGTAGGCATAACAGGTGGACAATTCTTCTGGCCAAGCTTTGCAGCCTGTGTCTGGGTCTGTGTATGCACTAAGATGGACTTGGTCAGCCAATAGAGCCTGGGAAGATTTTCTCAACAATGGTACAATGAATCTAACTATGTCTCAGAATAGTCAAAATCACTCAAGTTGCACCCTCAAAATACGCTTCCCCCACATTAGGGTCTCTAAGGCATTATCAAAGGTCCCTCCGCTATCTCCAGGTGTTGATACAGTTTGAGAGCAAAAAATGGTCCACTCCCTTTCCCCAAGTAAGTGTACACAGGAGATAAAAAAAATTGAAACATTTGTTCCACCCACTTTCCTCCCTACCTTGATCCTCCCGACCCTAATCAGAGGCCCATAAAGGTGTGCATCCCTTTCAGCTATGTAAACAATATTAAAAATAAAACACTTTTTAAAATCTTAAAAAAAAATTACAGCTAAAAGCCCCTTTCTACCACAAAGTTCCATACAGAAGTCTTTCTTGTTCCCTAAGAAAACCACCAGTAAGTGGGTACTGTTCCAGACTTTTCAAAAATTTTCATTCATTTACTTATTTGAGAGGCAAAAGACAGACACAGAGAAATAGACTCACACACACACAGAGAGCAGGGGTAGAGGTGGGGGTTATTCGTTGGTTGACTCCTCAAATGTCCATAAAAACAAGGGCTGGGCCAAAGCCAGAAATATAATTCAGGCCTCCTGTGTGGGTCAGGAACCCAGCGCTCTGAGCCAGTTAATTCATTAGCATGAAGATGAAGTCAGGAATCAGAGCAGGGTACCAAACCATGGGACTACCCTATGGAGAATGAAGTTCTTAACTACCAGGCCAAAAGACTACCAGCAGACTTTTTATGTAACACATCACAGAAACTCCCTAGTTTGTGGTGTGTGTGTGTGTGTGTGTGCTGATTTTTATGTATAGAATACCGTGCGTTTGTATCGTTTTACATCTTTCAGACAAAAGTAAAATTTGGAAGTTTACCCATGTCATTATATATGCATTGAGCTCAGAGAACAAGATGAAAATACTCCTGTGATAGACTCTTGCGTTATTTCCAGCATTTTTCTAACACAAACAGTCTCTCATAAGCAAGTCTGTGTGAAATTCCTTATGCACAGTATTTCTCTAGGGAGCTGCCCAGAAGGCAAACTGCTGAGTCGAGGCTTCTTGTTTTTTGTCTCAAGAAATGGTGCCAACCTGTCTTCCAAAGGAGTTGTCCTCATATCTACTCCTGACACCCAACAGCAAGGTATTAAGTTACCCATTTTGTTATATGGGCACTAAAATATATCATTAGGTTACATTTTCTCCCTATTTGATAGTCTTTTTTTTTCTAATCAGTATAATGAAACCAAATGTCTACTTATCTCTTATAATTGCCTTTTTGTCAATTTTTCTAGATGTTCTTCTTTCAATGATCTAGTGGAGTTCTGGGTGAATTTAGACTTTCCTAACTTTCACGTACAGTAAACATGAGGCTTTGGTTCATATAAAACATGACAAGTCCTCTGCTGATGGCATAAAGGGGGCTGGATGATGCTTCTCAAAATGATTCTCTTTGCTTTGTACCCTGAAAACCACTGTACCAGAAGAGGAGCTGACTGAGATGAGAACGAAGTTCACATCACATCCCAAGGCACTACTCTGCAAGTCTGGTTCCCATAAGCTCAAAATATTACAGGGAAGGAGAGGAAGGGGGAACATCAGAGCCTACGAAACGTTGCTATAAAATTAAATGCAATAAAAAAAAATAATACAGGGAGAGCGCTCTAGTTTTGACCATAACAGAATAATTAGTGCCAGAGTAGTTCTCCTGCCATACAAACTATTCAAATACAGAAAGCCACAATTTTCAGGCACTGGACAAGATGTAGCAGAAAACCAGAATGAAAGAGAAAGTGAAACTCACCAACAGAGCCTTATGATCATCTCTATTCTCTATCTGTAATAATTTCCTGACCACGGGACAGGAAGCTGGACTCACTGTGCTGGAGAGGTAGACACAAGAGTGAGGGGCTCGGGCCCAGTGCGATGGCGCAAGTGGTTAAAGTCCTCACCTTGCACGCCCGGGATCCCATATGGGTGCCGGTTCTAACCCCGGCAGTCCTGCTTCCCATCCAGCTCCCTGCCTGTGGCCCGGGAAGGCAGTCAAGGACAGCCCAAAGCTTTGGGACCCTGCACCCACGTGGGAGACCCGGAAGAGGCTCCTGGCTTCGGATCAGCATAGCATCAGCCGTTGCGCTCACTTGGGGAGTGAATCATCGGATGGAAGATCTTCCTCTCTGTCTCTCCTCCTCTCTGTATATCTGACTTTTCAATAAAAATAAATAAAATCTTAAAAAAAAAAGCCAGTAAAACTAGTAATTAAGAACAGTAAAATCAATCGGGGAATCAATAGCAACCACCAAAATGGAGCCACAAAGCAGTAAGAGTTTAATAAAATCAAATAAATAAAACCCTAGGGCATCTAAGAGTTATGGGACACCACCAAATGGTCAACACATCACAAAACAAGTATTTGGGAAAATAATGGCCAAAGATTTTGTAAAATTCATGATAGATTCCAAATCACAGATTCAAAAAGCTCAAAGAACATCAAGCAGAAAAAACACCCGAAGTGCAGCGGTTAAGTTGCTGCTTGGGATGGCCGCCTCTCATTTCAGACAGCCTGGTTCCAGCCCCAGCTCCTCTGCTTCCAGTCCAGTTTTCCACCCTAGGGGCAGGGCAGCAGGTGTTCATATATTTGGGTCCCTGCCTCCCAAGTGAGAGCGCGGGTCTAAGCAACCGGCTTCTGGCTTTGACATGGCCAGCCTTGGCTGATGCCGATACGTACGGAATAAACCAGTGGATAGAAGATTCTCTGCCTTTCTAATAAAATGTAAACAAAAATAGGAAAATAATACCTATATATAATTTCAAATTGTTAGAAACAAAAGACAAAATTCTTAAAAAGATTTACTTATTTTTACTTGAAAGAATTACAGAGAGAAAGAGGAAAGACAGAGGCGTTTTCCATCTGCTGGTGTACTCCTCAAATGCAAGCAGTGACCACAACTGAGCCAATCTGAAGCTCAAGTTTCGTCCAGGTCTCCCACATGGGTGGGGAGTCCAAGGCCTTGAACCATCCTCTGCTGCTTTCCCAGGCTATTAACACGGAGCTGGATGGAAAGAGGAGCAATCAGGACATGAACCAGAGCTCAGAGGGGATGTTGCCACTGTGCTGGACTCAAAAAAGGAAATCTTAAAATCAAGCAAATAAAGGGCCCAGTACAATGGTTCAATTGGCTAATCCTTCCTCATTAAGTGTTGGAATCCCATTATGGGTGCTCAGTTTGTATCCTGGTTGCTTCTATTCCCATCTAGTTCCTGGAGGATGGCACACAGTCTTGGGACCCTGTACCCACATGGGAGACCTGGAAGAGGCGCCTGGCTTCTGACTGGCTCAGCTCTGGCCATTGCAGCCACTTAGGGATGAGCCAGTGGATGGACAATCTTTCTGTCTGCCCAAAATACCTTTCCAATAACAATGAAAAAAATCTTAATTTTTTTTTAAATCATGCAAGTAAGAAACACTACAAGACCAAAGGAAAGAATTCTATCAGCCTTCTCATCAGAAACCACGAGGTTAAAAAGATAATTTAAAAGATCAATACCCTTAGCAAAGAAAAACCTGGCAACCTCAGATTTTCATACTCATTGAAAATATTCTGAAATAAAGGAGAAATAGAAGCCTTTCTGCATAAACAAAGAGAAAGTAATTCATTGGCAACAGAAGTTCTTCTGACTAAAAGAATCCAAGATGAGACTGTAACCTGGATGCACACGTTGAAAACTGGAAATAGATAAAAAGAAAGTAAAAGAAAATATTTTTTTCTAATTTTAATTTCTCTAAAAGATAAGTGACTACGCGGCTCTATGGCTTAGTTGGTTAAAGCGTCTGTCTCGTAAAAGACAAGTAACCCAAAGATATATGCATCACACCCAATATACTTGGTTTCAATATCCAGCTCTAGTTCCTGATTCCAGCCTTCTGTTGATGCAGACCCTGAGAGGCAATAATGACAGCTGAAGTAGTCAGATTTTTCCAATCCAGTGAAAGACCTGGACTTAGTTCCCAGCTCTGGGCTTTGGCCTAGACAAACCCTGGTCACTGTGAGCACTTAGGGAATGAACCAGTGGACAGGAGCTCTTTATGACTCTCTGCTTCTCAAATGAAAGAAAGAAAGGAAGGGAGAGAGGGACAGAAGAATTAAAAAAAAAAAGGAGCTTCAAAGTCCAAAAAGGAAGACTACACAAACACAAATAAAAACAACTTGGAAGATAACAGATTTAAATTGAACTGTATCAGGGCCAGCACACTGGTGCAGTTGACTAAGACTCTGTCTGCAATGCCAGAATCTAATATGAATGCCAGTTCACATCTTGGCTGCTCTACTTCTGCTCTTGCTGCCTGCTATGGCCTGGAAATGTAGTAGAGTCTGGCTCAAGCCTTAGGATCCCATATATATTGGGGAAACCTGGAAGAATCTCCTGGTTCCTGGCTTCAGACCAGCCCAACACTAACCACTGCAGGCATCTGTAGAGTAAACTAGTTGATGGAAGTTCTGTCTCGCCTGCTCTTTTTTGTAACTCTGCCTTTCCAATAAAAATAAATAAATAAATAAATCTTTTTTAAAAAATCCACCTATATTAGCATTGATTTTTAAATGTGGTATTACCTAAACATAGCAGAAGTCAGATTGTGAGCCTGGGTAGAAACCAAGACCCCACTACAAGATAAGATATCTGCATTATAATGCAGATAAGATATCTGCATTAAATGTAAATACATATTTTAAAGCACAAAGATCAAGAAAAATACACTACACCAACATGAATAAAAAGAAAGCTGGGGCAGCTGTGCTAATTTAGGACAAAGTAAACTCAGAATGACTAACACTATCAAGAATAGATAAACAATGCTTCTTTGTATCGTATATATAATTAATTTGGTCATTTTGTTATAGAAGTTGGAGCCATACATCTTCATTAAAATGTGTCGCATTAAATGATATGTATGTGGGTTTAAAAAGTAGTATGGTTCTTGCCCTACATCCGGGACCTGGGGAGGGTGGGAAATTGGGTGGGCCTTCTCCCTTAATACTCCCCTTTAAACATGAAGGAAACAATATGGAAAACATACTAGTATTATCCACTTTCCTGTAGCCCTTGAACCTTCTTACCCTAATCAACTATGTCAAGATTGTCAAAATAAAAATAAAATAAAAAAATAAATAAATAAAATTTAAAAAAAAGTAGTATGCTTCATTACTACTACAACTATGAGGAAAAATAATTCATCTCCTCAACTTACTGGAAATTTAAAAAGGGATTAGGAGGTGAAGGCAAAATGTTTTTACAGGCCCCCGACTTTCTCTACATTCTATAAAGAAGGAAGTAGGCTCTGGGAGGCTCAAGGCACTGGCCCAGTTCTTTCTCTTCCAGCTATGTTGGTGGTTTCCAAGTCTCCGAGGTGGGGAGGAGAACAGAGGACTAGACCCTCATGGGACCACACGGGGTAGGCAGGCTTCAGGCATTCTACACACAATCCTTGGATAATGTAAACAATTTCATTTTGAAAAGGGCTTCTGATGCTTAAAGGTAAGTTTGAAGTTGTTATGTTTACCACGGTGTTTCTTTAGAGAATTTGAAATATTTTTTAAAAAAATACAATCATCTAAAGTGTAGGTTTTTACAATTGCAGCAGCAAAGAAAGAAACCCACTGTTTCTCTCCTGTGATCTCCCAGGCAGAGCAGGGGAAAGGAGGTGGTGCTGGGGCATTCTTTCTGGAGCAACCCCCCCTCCTTCAGATTACCCACACAGAAGCCCCAGCCTGTGGCACAGCCACCTCCTTACAAACCCTCTCCTGCTCACAGTATCTGAACTCAAGACAGGACGGGCAATGTCCCCACACACAACTGCAAGATCTTTCAATTGTAATGTGGGAAGATACAGGAATGCTGTTATACTCACAAGAAGGCCTGAAACATCAGAATACTTCTTAGCTGGCTTAAAGGATGGAGGAGCATCAATACTGAAGTCTGTGGGAAAAACAAAGGAAAAAGTTAACTCAGTGATGTTAAAACACTCAATTCCATCTTATCCCTTTCCTATTTTTTCTAAAATTATGGTTCAATAATATTCTTAAAAATTTCAATTGCTGATTAAGTATTCACAGAATTCTCTGGGGATGAACCAAAGACGAAAGTCAGAACTACTGCACTATGTCATTAACCAAGTGTAGGATCCAGGTCCAGTTCCACCCTGTCACCAAGGACCCTCTCTTCCAGCAAGCCTCTCTGCTCAACATGCTGTTGTCATAGTCTCAGGCTACATGCGCTGAGGGTGAAGAAATGCCATACAACCCACTAACTGGCTCTGGGCATCCAGACACCTGCACGCTCACAGCCAGATGACTGACTGGCTCACTTGTCACCCATCTGAGTCACTGCCATGAAAGACAGACACAGCAGGACCAGAACTGGAAGGGCTGTGAGCCTGAACTTTCTAATAATGCAGAACAGAACACTTAACAGTATTTTACAAACATGGGGACTTTTTGTGGCACAGAACTATTTTACTCTGAAAAAGACTGGCTCACATGCTAAAAGAGTTGGCCTCTATGCTGGTTGTTAGAAAGCTTCCTCAATCTGACATACTCATCTTCCTTGTTCTTGGAAACACATTTTAAGAGTTGACTCAAGAGTAGTAAGCTTGTCTAACAGAAATTTTTATATTATCACATTAGGACCTATTTCTGCAGACTGAAATATTAACAGTGACATTAAAAACCACACCCATGACAACTCAAACAGATTTAACATAGTTATGAGGAAACAAATACCATATATCAATGGCACTTTAGAAATCATCAAACAAAAACTGTTTCCTACCATAACACAAACACAGTAAAATAACATGGGCTTATTATAAGACAGTTTCTCATCTGAACATTATAAACACATGGAAGGCTCTAGATAGCTCACAGTTAGGGTCGTTCAGCTGCCATGGTAAGGCCCTTTCAGCAGCCAGAATTTGTTTCAGGTTCTTCCAGGTTCTGTTTTTCTTGCCAGCTACTGCACCACCGTGGCCAGAGTGCTTGAATTAAAGGTATGCAACAGAAGAAAGAAAAATCAATGCAGATTACCCCTCCAGAATCTGACATTTATGCTTAATCATAATGTTGTAGACCTCATGTTCTATCAACATTTATACCTGAGATTTTCTTTTAAAAGTATTTCGCCATACACTGTAATCTTAGCTCAAAAAAGTTTTTAGATTGTCAAAAGTCCATAAATTAGTGGGTGACATAATATGATAGAATAGAAATGAAAGAGTACTTCTTTTCATACATAGCACAAAGAAAGATCAAATCTTTCATTGGGTTTAACTTTTCAGAATTTTCTCATGACTTTATCACTTTAAAGCAAATGTACTATAGAGTCTAAATTCACGACTTCATCTTTTAACTCCCCTCTGAGGGCAACTACAGCATAGCAAGTCTAACAGAATTCTTTTTTTGGGGGCGGGTCCCATAAAGATGACAAAATAAAATGGAAAAGAATACCAAAAGGTGATGGTAACATCGTATTTCCAAAAGTAACCCAGAAAAAAATACTTTTATTGGAGTAACTTATTGTATCACTCAAGAACAGAAAAAAACGGTACCCTATTTCTACTTTATAAGCGATGGCTTGGATTTATTTAAATTCATGAGCAGCATGCCTCAGATAAATAGCTCAAGTTTCATCTAACATTTACATAACAGGAAAGGGGCACTTGGCACAGTAGTTAAGCCACTGCTTAGCATGCCCTATTCCATATAGAGTGTCTGGGTTTGAATCCCAGCTCCACTTCTGATTCCAGCTTCTTGCTAATGCATGCCTTGGAAGGTATCATGTGATGGTTCAAGTACTTAGGTCCCTGCCACCCATACAGGAGCTCAGATGGGAATTCCTGGTTTCTGGTTTCCACTTGGCCCAATCCAGGCTATTGCAGGCATTTGGGGAGTTAATCAGTGGATTGAAGATATCTGTCTACGTATCTTTCCAATAAATAGAAATAAAACAGAAGTTATTTTAAAACAAGTAAACAGAAGTAGGTAAGACCAGTGAAAAGGTAGAGAGAGCAAAAAAGTGCCTTTCAATGCATTGCACAGAGAGCACCAACATCCCCAGAATCTGCAGTACTGGAATGCTAACTCCTGCCTCAGTTTCTCTAACAATGACCCTTGCGAGAGGTGGTGGCAACTGGGACATCTGTGCCACCTTGGCTGCATACCCATCACAATCAGAGGCTGAAATGTGGTTTGGGTGGCTTTTTACTTGTATTAATCTAATAACCTTAGATGCTTACCACAAAGTTGGGATCCTTAAATGGCAAAGGTTTGACAGCTTTTTCCATAGGTCCGGTGCTAAAGTCAGAGGGCACCATTTTACTCTCACTCATGGCATCCATGCTGATACCCTTGAAACAAAGTAAGAATGGCTTGAGGTCAATGTTTTCCAGTTAACTTCCTGATTTATTTGTAGTAAAACAAAAATTAATGCCACAGTAAACGCCAAGGGATGATAGTAAGCCCAAAGCTCTTGCAGCACCTGCTTCAGGGAAAGGCATGCCAGAACGGCAGCAGCACCCCCAACTGCCATGCTTCCTGGTTCCCCTAAGTCCAAAGAACAGGGATGGCTGTTTGAACTAAACTGGCTTATTTAGTCATAACAACCATGACAAAGTAGGTACTCTTCCCTCACTTTACAGAACACAGGCTTTGAGGGGCTGGCTCTGTGATGCAGCAGGTGAGAGCACCTAGGACACTGGCATCCCATAGGCTACTGCTGATTTAACTCTTGGCTGCTCGACTTTCAGTTCAGTTCCCTCTTGATGGTTTGGAAGAACAGGAAAAGATGGCCCCATATGGAAGACCAGGAAGACACTCCTGGATTCAGCCTGGCCCAGCTGTGGTTACTTGGCCATCTAGGGATAGAACCAGCAGATGAAAGACCTCCCTCAATATCCTCTCACCTCTGGAGCTCGCTCTTTCAAATAAATAAATAAGTAAATAAATAAATACTTAGAAAAAGGAAGAAAGAAAAAAGGCTTTGAGAATAGGTTCAAGGCCACATAGTCAACCTTTGGATTCAAACCTAGTCTGCACTAATTCCAACGCCCCCATCATTTCTAAGACACCACACAATTCCTATTCAAGCAGATCTTGTCAGCTAGTTTTAAAATATTAGGACCAAAAGTGTCCAGCCCCTCAAAGTCCCTGCTCAGCCTGAGAACCCAAGCTGCAGCCAGCATGTTTTAGGGACACAACAGGACAGAGAGGGAGCTGGAAATCAGAGACAGCTGACTGCATCCCAAGGGGACGCCAAGAAGCAAGCCAATAGGCTTTAAAACCCAAAGAAAACTTTAACCTAAGAAGCACAAATTAAATACCAAGTCAAAGTAAGACATCACCTCTGGCTTGTTCAGGTCCTCATGTCCCAGGTCACAGTAAACTTTTTTTTTAACTGAACTACAATTTACATACAGCAAAAAGCACACTCAGATCACAAACATAGGTCTCATGAGTTGTGCCAAATGGTTGTATAACACAAATGCCTATTGAGACACAGAACATTTACACTGCTCCAGAAAGTCCTCTTACAGCCCCTCCAGACCAGGGGTAACCACTGCTCTGATGCCTACTGTGTGACTTTTGCACTGATGCAATCAGCATTCCTGTGTCTGCCCTCTCTAGAGCAGCAGGAAGTTCTGAGAAGTATCCACGATGCTGCATAATCAGTAGTTTGTTTTGATGTACTTTTTAATTTTTATTGCTCCAAAAAGTTCATGGAAAATTCAAATTCTCTTTTCATTCCATTTTTCCCCAAACTTTGTGAAGCCCCCTCATGTTTGTATACTATTAAGCAGAGTATTACTCCATTGCACAGGTATACCACAATGTGTTTTCACATTTTCCTGTTGAATATTTGGTTTAGGTTAAGTCCGATTTTCAGCTGTTATAAATAAAGCTGCTGCAATGTCTTCTCACTTCTTTTATACGAGATATATTTATGTAATTGACTATTATTCAACCACACAAAGGAATAAAGTACTGATTGTGAATGCTTTGTCATGGATAAGCCTTGAAAACACTATGCCAACAGAATGAAGTTGGCCAAAGAAGCCCATAATTAATTTAATTTATGATTTCATTTAAATTATTTAGGTTAGCTGAATTCACAGAAAGTAAACCAGGGTGGTTAGGGGTAGGTACAATGGGACTGATTGCTAATGGGATGAGGAGTTTCTTCACAGGGTGAAAGACATACCCTAAAGCTCGGTAATGGGATTAACTACTTAAACTCTGCGATTCTACCATAAATCACTGAACTGTACGCTTTAAAACACTGCATTTTGTGCTATGTGTATTGTATCTCAATAACACTATTACACACAAGTAAAATAATAAATAAATAAAGCTGGCAATGAACTGTAAGAATCCATGATATAAAGTCTAGTGCAATAGCCTAGTGGCCAATTCTTGTCTGGCATGAATCAGGATCCTATATGGACACCACTTCATGTCTTGGCTGCTCCACTTCCCCTCCAGCTCCCTGCTGGTAGCCTAGCAAAACAGTAGAGGACAGCCCCAAACCTTGGGACTCTGCCCTGTTTGGGAGACCCAGAAGCAGCTCCTGGCTTCTGGCTTCAGATGGGCTCAGCTCTGGTCACTGCAGCCATTTGGGGAGTAAACAAGTGTATGGAAGATCTTTCTGCCTAGCCTCTCTGTATATCTTGTCTTTCCAGTTTATAAATTTTTTATAATGAGTGAATCAACATGGACAGGCATGTGGCTCAGCAGGTTGGTTGCTGCTTGGGACGCAGGTCCCATTCAGCGAGTGCTGGTTCATGTCCCAGCTCCTCTGTTTCTGATCTGCCTTCCTACTAATGCATCCTGGGAGCAGCAGATATGGCTCAAGCACTTGGATCTCTGTCATCCACTTGGGAGACCCAGACGGAGACCCAGGCTCCTGGCTTTGATCTGGCTCAGCTCTGATTAATGTAGGCATTTGAGAAGTGTACCAATAGATAAGATATCTCTTTCTCTTCAAGAAGAAGAAATAAACAAATATTTAAAAGTGAACAGGAAAGAAAAAGCAGTTGCTCACAATAGGATTTTAACTACTAAGTGTAGAAACACTGAAGGAATTTACCATTCAATAAAGCACTACGATATTTGTTTCAAGCAAAAGCCATTTAAGGACGCTGGAAATGGCTGGCAGAAGTATAAAGAGAAATGGAAATTTACACAGTCTCCAACGTTCTCCCCACAAGAGTTTTTAATACAAACAGAAAAGGAGCAGCTTTGCAGTAAGGAAACGTGGCAGACACCACCTTACCAGGTGCTGAAAGCTAACACCACTGGGCATGGGAGATGGCAATGTGGTATGCACACAGCACGGTGTGCTGAAGACAGCAGCGCTTCTAGGTTCTTGCCAAGAATGTATCACTTAGATCTGTGAGGAAACACCAGACAGGCCCAAACTGAGGAACATTCTATAAAAACCAATGCCAGTGCTTCTTCAAAAGTACTGTGGTCATCAAGGAGGAACCACTTCCAATTAAAGGATCTGCAATGAGATGGCAAGGAAATGGATCCTGGACCAGAGAGGGGGAAGAATATAAGCTGCTTTGTCTCAGCATTCCAACAGTCAATTGCTTGAATTTAGACAATTTTTTAAAAGATTTTTTATTTTTATTGGAAAGTCAGATATATGTAGAGGAAGATCTTCCATCCGATGATTCACTCCCCAAGCGGCCGCAAGGGCTGGTACTGAATGATCCGAAGCCAGGAGCCCAAACTTGGACAATTTTGAAGGTATTTCTTCAAATATTCCCCAGGTCTCTGCATACAGAGCTGGATTCCATGTAAATCAATGCCCAGTGTCCTTCTCACCTCTGCTCACACAAATTCTTCTGTGGTGTGGGCATCCCATACTGGTACCAGCTGCTGCACTTCTGATTTGGCTCTCTGCTAATGCCCTGGGAAAGCAATGGAGGATACCTCAAGTGCATGTGGGAGAACGGGAAGATGCTCCTAGCCAACAGTTTTAAACTGGCCCAGCTCTGGCCAAAGCAGCCATTTGGGGAGTGAGTCAGCATTTGAAAGATATTTTTGTTTCTCCCTCTAATTCTGACACTCAAGTAAAAAAAATATATATATATATATATACATATAAAAAGAAAAAAAATAGAAAAGCAGGAACCTCCATACATCAGGGTAGGTCAGACAGTCTGGAAATTCTGCCACAGGGAAAGATAGCACCAGGCAAGCACACCTGCTGAAAATAAGGAGAAGGCGGAACAACGGGAGGCCTGAAGTCAGCTCAGGGTCCAGGCAGCAAGCTTGGGAAGGGTCAAGGAAGGAATGAAGACGATATGTGGAAGCCCTGCTTTCCCCAACAGATCCCTCCTGTTGGCTTGCTCTTCCCATCCTCTACAATTCTGGGCCAGCAAGCTGAAGATGGGAGCAGAAAGGAATCCATCTGATGTGGCCTGAGCCTCATCATTCCAGCACGGTCCCAGGCCACGAACGCCTAGAGGAACTGATGCTTAGCACCGAGGCCTTCTTGTCTTGGCAGCAATAAAAGTGATGATGTTAAGTCCCAGAGAAGAGAAACCTGGTCTGCTATTAAAGCAGCACACACCTGTCCTTCACAGACAGGAGTCAGCAAGGCCTGATCTCAGCCCAGCTCTGCCCGACAGCAAAGCCCAAGTAAACGGCCCAGCTTTGCCCAAACATAGAGCCCAAATAAATGGTTTTGTGTCTCCAGACAGTAGTCTGCATGAGTGACTCAGACTTAAGAATAACTTGGATATTTTGTCTGTGGTTACAAGTAAGGAGACAAATGTCCTTTGTCTTATCACTGAAAGATCAAATATATACTTACACTTACCTAATAGCATTTGAGATTCAAACAGCTGACACTAGGCTAAAACACAGAGATACTCACTACAGTCACAAAATTTCAGATGCAATCCAAGTATTTAATCTTGTCAACTGAACTAAAGCACTTGACTCCTTAGGAAATAATGCAGCCGGGCCCGGCGCGATGGTGCAGTGGTTAAGGTCCTCGCCTTGTATGCCTGGGATCTCATATGGGTGCCGGTTCTAATCCCAGCAGCCCCACTTCCCATCCAGCTCCCTGCTTGTGGCCTGGGGAAAGCAGTCGAGGACAATCCAAAGCTTTGGGACCCTACACCCTGTGGGAGACCCGGAAGAGGAAATAATGCAGCCCATTAGTCACAAAAAGACTTATAACTTTTCTAGGAACACAGAGCTGCTCACAAAATCCCAGCAGATGTAAGGTAAGGATTTAGCCACTAGGTTATCGCACCAGGCCCCCCCATTTCCAATTCTAATTCTAGGTTCCTGCTAATGCTCACCCTGGGAAACAGGTGACTCAAGTACACACATT